CCTCCAAATTTAAAAGAATTGAAATTATGCAAAGTGTGCTCTCCAACCACAGTAGAATCAAACTCAAAATCAACAACAAAAAACAATCGAAAAATCTGTAAACATGTGGAAATTAAATAACACACTTTTAAACAATCTATGGGTCAAAAGGGAAGTCCCAAAAAAGTTTTAAATACCTACAATTAAATAAAAATAAAGCTACAGCACACCAAAATATGTGGATTGCAGCTAAAGCAGTCTTGAAAGGGAAATTTATATCATTAGTGCTTACATTAAAAATGAAGAAAGGTCTCATCAGTAACCTAAGTTCCTATCTCAATAAACCAGTAAAAGAAGGACAAGATAAATCCAAAGCAAGCAGAAAAGGGGAAGTAATACACATAAGAGCAGAAATCAATGAAATTGAAAATAGGAAAACAATAGAGAAAATCAATGAAACAAAAACTGGTTCTTTGGGGAAAAGGTCAATAAAATTGAAGGCCTTTAGCAAGACTGACAAAAACAGAAGGCACAAATCACCAATATCAAGAAAGAAATAGGGAATGCCTCTACATATCCTACAGCCATTGAAAAGATAATAAAGGAACAATTTTATGCTCATACATTCAATAACTTAGAAGAAATGGACCAATCCTTGAAAACCACTGACTGCCAAAATTTAACCAAGATGAAACAGCCCTGGAATCAGTAAAGAAATTGAATTTGTAATTTGAAGGCTCCCCAAAGAAATTTCTAGGCTTAGATGGTTTTAATGGAAAATATACTGAACTTCTGAATAGGATAACACCAGCTTATCATAGTTTCTTACAGGAAATTAAAGAAAAAGGAATACTTCCCAAATCATTATACAAGGTCAACACTAATTAGCAAAACCAACAAACCACTAGCACAAAAGACAGTACAGAAAGGATCTCTCTCTGTATTATTTCATGTGTATCTACAATGATCTCAAATAAATGAATAACATCATCTCTTATTTCAGTAAGCACGTATTAAGTATTTGGCAGTTAAGTTCTGAAATATTAACTGTGTTTTATATTTTAATTTTTAATCCAGGGAGAATAAATGATGACAGAATTTGTTATTGATTAATTCAAATAATCTTCTGTTACAAAGAGCTAAAAGGTGTTCAGAGCTGCTCAAAGACATAGACACCTATTTACCAGAAAATATTGATCCAAAACAGTTATTTCTCCTCTCTAAGGGCTGAAAGAGACAACCAAAGAGATCCAGCAAGATGTCTGGGATAAAACCAGCATGCAAATTTTCAGTGAGCTTGCTTTCACGCTCTCTCTCTCCTCCTTGATTGAGGGAGCCCCATCACCCCTCAACACAGAAACTGCCTTAGATTGATTTTGGGAGGCAAATATTTCAAGTGCACACTTGATAGGCTATTGACTAAAATAAATTGTCTGGAAATGTTCATCACTGTGATCATTCTCATTCGTAAAGATTGAATATTTGTGATTATAATGAAAATATATTCATTTAAAGCTAGTTACCATTAGGCATCCATCAGGAATGAAGGCAGAAGCCAATTGAGCCACACATCAGAGGGCTCTTGGACCTACAAATCATGTCATGGACACAATGGCTCCTTGCACTTACAGTGGGAGCACAGTAGGCCAAGGGTCCATGACTTCAACACTGCACATATGTGGCTGTTATTTAGAGCTCTCTGAGGTATAGATTTACATTACCATCTGCCATCTCAGTTGCTGTTTACATCTGCTTTAAAAGGGGGGTGGTGGGCATAATCAATTGAAGTGTGTGTAGAAAGCCCTGGAAAGGAAAAAAAAAAAAAGAAAGAACACCACCACAACTACAACCTGAACTTGGGATAAGTACACATGTCTATCCAAAGAGGAAATAAGGAATTCATACTCTCTTCTCTCTTTGAAATATTCCCTTTGATTTGGGGAAATTATGTGATAAAAGAGTGTTTTAAAATTCCTAACACAATTCAGCTTCTCTGAAGAGCTTCAGAAATATTCTCAACTATATGTGTTCTAAAATTTATTGGTAAATGTATTGGTAAATGAGACTTGATATAAATTTAAAACTTTTCTCTAGGGGTGCCTGGGTGGCTCCATTGGTTAAGCGACAGCCTTCGGCTCAGGTCATGATCCTGGAGTCCCAGGATTGAGTCCCACATTGGGTTCCCTGCTCAGCAGGGAGTCTGCTTCTCCCTCTGACCCTCCTCCCTCTCGTGCTCTCTCTCTATCATTCTCCCTCTCTCTCAATAAATAAATGAAAATCTTTAAAAAAATAATAAAATAAAACTTTTCTTTATGAAAGACTCCGTTAGGAGTTTGAAAAGACAGCCTATAAACTGGGAGAAAACATTTGCAAACTGTATTTCTTATAAAGGACTAGTATCTAGAATACATAAGGAATTTTTAAAGCTCAACAGTAAAAAAACCAAACAGTCCAATTAAAAAATGGGCAAAAGGCATGAAGAGACATTTTACCAAAGAAACATGCAGATGGCAAATAAGCCCATGAAAAGAGGTTTTACATCACTAGTCTACAGGGGAATGCAAATTAAAACCACAATGAGATACCACTACACCTATACCTATGAGAATGACTTTAAACAATTGTAACAGTGAATGCTGGCAGGGAAACTGGATCTCTCATAAATGGCTGGCGGAAATATAAAATGGTGGAGCCACTTTGGAAAACAGTTTGGCGGTTTCTTATAAAATTAAACATGCAACTGCCACACAAGCCAGCAATTGCACTCCTGGGCATTTATCCCAGAGAAATGAATACTTATGTTCATACAAAAGCCTATACATGAATTTTTATAACAGCTTTATTTGTAATAGCCAAACACTAGGAACAATTCAGATGTCCTACAACAGGTAAATTGTCATGTGTTGGCACATACCATGGAATACTAGGCAGCGATTAAAAAGGAACAAATGACTGATGCATGAAACAACTTGGATGAATCACCAGGAATAATGCTGAGTGCAGAAAAATAGCCAAATCCAAAAAATTTCATACTGTATGATTCCATGTAAATAACATTTTGGAAATAACAATAGTATAGAGATGGAGAATAGATTAGTGGTTGAGGGAGTTAAGGAGTGGGTGGGAGCAGGGAGAATGAGGAAGGGAAGGGGAAGCAGGTGGGTGTGACTATGTTAAGAGCAACATGATGGATTCTTGTGGTGATGGGATGATCCTGTATCTTGAGTGTATCGATACCAAAATACCAGTTGAGATACTGTCCAATAGTTTTGCAAGATAACATCATTGGAAGAAATTGCTTAAAGGGTACAGGAGACTTCTCTGTATTATCTCTTACAACTGCATGTGAATCTAAATTATCTCAAAAAAATGTTTAATTTAAAAAAAGAAGTGAAGAGTTTGGGAAGAAAGTGTATTTTTTCCACTCAAGTTTGGAAATGAAGATGCTGCTAACCACACTGGCCAAAAAGGCTGTTGATAAGAAGATAAAGCAGGTGATTGGGAATAGAGAGCTGCTTCTAGGGACTTTCACTTAGCATCCAGAGTCCCCCTTCCTAGCCAGGAGCATTACCTTTTGGCAGCCTCCATCCCTTTCCAGGAGATTCCAACAAGGACAAAGACAAAAGAATCCAACAAGGAAGCCTGCTCTTGCAGATTTGTGACCATGGCCTCTGAATAAATTCTCACCCTAGGAGTCAACCTCAGGATGAGCTTCATAAGGTTCCAGCCCTATTATTTGGGATGCTGGCAAATGCAAAGGGGGAATCAACCCCTCGATACTGGTGACCAGCAGGTGGTTGAAGCCAGCGAGTGGCTTTCAAGACCCGCGCTCATGTAGCCTCTGGAAGTAAAGGAAACCACCTGCGTGGATTGTACTGTACCTCGTCTATGAGAACCCACCTCTTGGGCATCATTGGCAGATGGTCTCTTGGCTAGCCTCAGGGGTCTCAAGCCCCTCCCCGCTGATCCCTACCTCATCCCCTAGACTAACCTCCCTGCTCTTCACGCCCAAACCACAGACTACAAACTGCTCCTCTGCTCGGCACAGGACATTTCCTCCAGTGAGCTTGCCCCAAACACAAAACCTTCCTCTCCATATGACAGCACATCACACCGCCAGCCTCGCTTCAGAAGCACCCTTTGCTCCCCCTGCCCTTTCCTGGAGTGCATGTGAATTCCTCATATTAGAACACTTGCTTTGGTTCCTTTGAAGGAGCAAATTTTCCCTGGCCTCCACACCCCACCCCAGATTGTGAGGGCTGCTTTCTTCACTATGCGCTGTTCTTTCTAAAATGCTCTCTTTGGCAAGCAGTGCTGCAAATAGGTTAAGAGCAAGGACGCTACATCCCATTGCCCAGTTCAAACTCTAGCCTTACCATTTATTAGCAGAGAGGTCTTGTGCAGATGATTTATCAACTCAGTGCCCTATCAGTGAAATGGGGATGCGGACAGCCGCTTCTCTGGCAAGGCTGTTATGAAGATGAAATGAGTCTGTACGTGTAAAGAAGAGTGCCTAGCCCACGGGAAGCCTTCTGTAAATGTCAGCGATTGCTATTATTCTTCTCACCCTGATACTACTCTAAGGGGCCCAGATGGTGAGCGAAAGTACTGTGAATTTACACTCAAGTAGATCTGAGGGTTAAAATTAGCTGAGTCACCTTTTGGGCAAGTCACTTAATTAATATAACTGTGCCTCAGCTTCCACATTTGCAAAGTCAGGCCAAAAAACAAACAAACAAACAAACAAAAAACAAAAAACCCTACTGCATAGGGTGGTTCTAGCTGGCTTGTCTAGATCTCTCCAGGCTTGCACACTAGGTACTCAAAGCACAACTCTGTATTGTGTTTTTGAAATGGACAATTACTGCAGTTGGGAGCAGAGACAGCGAGATTAGTCCTCTTTCCTCTCCATCCCCCTTGCCCTGGCGCCTGTGAAACGGAGCATCCCCATGGCAACAGCGGCAGCTGGTCCCTAGATAAGAGGAACTGGAGCCGGGCAGCAAGCAGAGGCTGCAGCAGAAGAGCCGGCCCAGCTTCAGGGAGGAGGCTTGCCCTCCCCATCTCTCGCCTCACCCAGCGCCTGCACTCATTGGTAAGTGTTTCCAATTTTTACTCCAAGAACTTTCCTGGCAAGAAAAGCAAATTTCCAGTAAGTTACAGCTTCCTTATGGTTGCTGGGACAAAGAGGGCTGCAGCTGGTGGAGCAAAGGCGGGGGGGGGGGTATGGAGTGCAGGGGGGTGCTTTCTGGAGCAAGGCTAAACTGGGGCTAGGTGGGGAGCAGGAAAAGTCATCATCTTCAAGACATTTTTTCTAAGGGAGGTAGAGTTCTGAATTCTGTGAGAGTCAGAATTCTTGCAAATTAAATTGCTACGTTCCAGGGAGGAACATTGGTGTATCCGCATATTCGCACAGTGTGGGAGGCTGGGGCGAGTGTGCTTACCAAAAAACCCTTTCCGTGCCCTACTTCAAGGAAGAGTCACTCCTAGGAGGAATACTGCAAATTTAGTCTTTCAATGAACAAACTTGATTTTAAAACGTAATACTTTTTGACCTGAATTAAATCCTCTAGTTAAAAAGAGATTTGACAAAGGATATGAATTGTACATAATCAGATACCACATTGGGCTGTAGACATAACCTAACTTTTTATTCCAGCAGGTAAATCTAGAGCTGATTACTTTGGGGAAATTCTTTAGAATTTTTTAGAATTTCATTACGATTAAGCCACGTGTCAGCTCGCTCCTAAGAATCAGTAGTACCATGTTCCCCAGACTTGGAAAGGGGGGGCCCTGCCATTGGTTTGTACCTTGGATTGCTCTAATCTCATTATTAGCTTTGGAGAAGGCCAGGGACAGGGCCAGGAGATGGTTCCAATGGTTCGGTTAAGATATACATGCCATAATCACAAGGGGAGGATGGCGAAGAACAAACAAAGCAACCTACACTTCTTAAAGTGTCAGCATGCACTGGGATCTGGGCTGGAAACCCTACACATGCTGTATTGTGAATACTCTCAATCCTGGAGAAGAGCCACTATCAGCCCATTTTACAGATGTGGAAACTAAGTTTCCAGGAGGGCATACCACTTTCCCAAGTTCACCCAGCTAGAGAGTGGTACAAGTAACCAAACTTTTGCTTCTACCCCATATTGCACCAAATGCTTGCAGTCAGTGGCCTTGGGTTAAACTTCATATTCTAACATCCAACTAAGGAACTTACTCAGTATTTAGAGAAAGGACAAAATGCCCAAACCTACTTCTGACCTCAGACTGAACTGACCAATGTTTTTTAGCTGAGGAACTGGTACTCCTGCCCTAAACAGGGAGCTGGCTCTGTGCTGGTGGAGGTGGGCTCCCCCTCCCACCCCGTCTTCAGCTGTAGCCCCCTGCTCTGGCTTGTCTGTCCTTCTGCAGTCTGGTGGAGTTCCTTCCCAGTCCCCTGATCTCCCAGTTCCTGTTCTCAAAAGAGAAGGTGACTCTTGTCATTAAATGCACAGGTGACCTTGTGTATTGTGTAATGTCAGTTAATATATCTCCTCCCTCGGTGGTATTTGCATTTGTAAGTGTCTCTCTGGGGGGGGCGGGGAAGGCTTTGTCCCTTGTGAAAAGGAATGTAAAAATTAGCAAGAGGAAGTTGCTAGAGTTTAATATCAGGGTCTGAAAACCTCCTCAAACCCCTGAAATCCTATCACTTGGTTTCCTTCTTGTACATGCTACACCAAGCCACCCTCATTCTCTCAAACGGCATCGAGAACGTTAATAGAGACCCACCATCCTTTATTCTCTAATTGAGAAATCTGAAAAACTCTGAAGACCAGAAGTTTTTTGTTGTTAAGTTCAACATAAATTTATTTGGTAGCAAGACCTGAGCTGAGAGGATATGAATCTTGGTGTAGTTTTTATTTGTGTTATTTAGTGCAAATGTTCATATTTTTGCTACAGAATTAGTGCATGTGATTATGGTGCTTCCTGCAACCCCTCTTAAGGGTGTCACGTAGGAAAAAATTCCTGATTTCCACGGCTCATGTGGCCCCAGGCTTTTTGGGTGAGGGTGGGCAGCCTGATAGCATCCAAATCATCATCACTGTGTGAGTGTTAAAATTCAGAGACCACACCGAACACACAAAAAACAGCTAGAGAATGTTAAAAGGTTGCAAACCTTTGTACTAGAGAACGGTTCATGCAACACCTGCAAGGTACCTTGTAAGGCTTTAGCCCCTGGTTGGAATCTGAAGACCCAAGGGACTGGGTATTTAGGTATGAAAGAAAGAGCCAGAGCTTCAGAAGTTCCCAAATTTCAGTGAGCTGCTGAGGGAGATGATGAAAGCTTCCTGGGCAGCATGACCAGAGCAAGGTCCTCTGGCCAGTGCTTGGGGTGGGGAGGCTGAATTCACAAAAGGCAAGCACGGGGCAGGGTCTGCAATCGTAAGTGGAAAAATTCCATTTCCTTTTTTTTTTTTTTTAAGATTTATTTATTTGCCAGAGAGAGAGAGAGCACAAGCAGGAGGAGCGGCAGGCAGAGGGAGAGGGAGAAGTAGAATCCCTTCTGAGCAGGGCGCCCAAGGCAGGACTGGGACTCAGGACTCGGACTCAGGACTCAATCCCAGGACTCTGGGATCATGACCTGAGCCGAAGGCAGACTCTTAACCCACTGAGCCACCCAGGCATCCCGAAAATATTCCATTTCTCAGTTCAAGAATTAGACTGGCTCGTGGCTGACTCATCAAGCACAGCCCTTCTCACTGAGGAGAGGAATGGCAAATGGTCAGGGAGACGGGGTCATCTTATACTAACATTCAGCAGGCAAGTAAAACAACAGTTACTAATAAGGTGATGCTATACCAAACCTCTGTCTCCTCGTGTACTTGTTCCTTTCTTTGTGTGCAGCTTTCCTGCCCAGAAGAGCTTAATGACATCATCCACGATAAAAGTCTCTTCTAATCCCCTGGGCAAAACACAACCCTGCCCAGCACAGGGTATTTTTGTGCTGTAAAATCCCCAATCTGAAAACCATCTCTCAGCCCCCTAGCCCATGGTGGCTGGGCAGTCCACCACCAGCATCCTTGCAACCACACTGGTTTAAAACAGTGGTGTTTCCCACGTGGACACTAGGTGCTATCTTGGGGATGAAGCATGTACCCTTGTCTTGTCCAGACACTTCTGACACTTGCACGATTCCCCTGTTAGGGGCAGGCTTCTCTCTCTCAAGTCCAGTACTGTGAAAGCCGTTTCACTCCAATGAAGCCTGGCTCTCCCGTGGTTCATCATCCAGATGAAAATGAAAGATTTGATCATTTTAGTACTTTTTGGTTATACAAGCTGGTCTTCATCAGCTACAGAGCAATGACTGCCATCGATGGAGTACCCACAATGTGCAAAGCCGGGAGCTGTTCTAGTTAACTCTTATAGTAACCCTGTGAGGTAGATGCTGTTATCTCTATTTTACAGGTAGGAACAGGGAGGCTAGGAACGGGATGGGGGACAGAGAGGGACCTATGTCTCTGGGTGCCTATCGACGGGCGCACCACAAAGATGCTAGGCTTTGCTCATTCTAGCATAGCAGCTGTTACTTGTAGGAAGAAAGGGCAAACATGATTATATCCTACTTGGGCTCCATTTACCCTCACTACATCATGAAGATTTAGCTACTTCATCAAAGTCATACAGCTTTTTCAGTAGAGAGCTGAGATTTTACCTAGATCCATTGGAACTCGAAAGCTCAGATTCAAATTAAATAACCCGCTATTGAGCACACAGGAGCGGCCATGTGATCCAAGTACAAAGAAGAGCTGACTGTGGGTGGAGAAAGGGAGAGGGGGACCATTGCCAGAGGGGTCCTAGAGTAGAAGGCAGGAGGCCTGGGTTCAAATGATCACTCTTGACTCTGAGCGTGCCACTAATACTAGGTGACTTCGATGTCTTTGAGCCTCAGCTGTCCTCTGGAGAATGAATATTTCTTGACTAGGTCCTCCATGGGGTGATTTTCAGCATAAAGTCAAGGACAGAGCCCACAATTTTCTGCCCAAAGAGGACGAAAATTGGTTAAGTAGGTGCACAGGCCATATTTGAGGCTGTCACTTCACCTCTAGGCCTCAGCACTGAGTCCACTCATCCCGACTGATGGTTCCATAACTCCCCTCTCTGCTCAAGCAGGTGGGGGCTAGCCACCCAAGTGAGCATCATATGGTCCCAGGGAGCTGGCAGTCTCTATGCAAACACTAAAACAATGGTCGGAATTGATTTCTGCCAAAGTCACTCAGTACAATCAGGCTGCTCAGAGTGACACTAAAAGCCAGGGTCAAGTAATCCGTGAACAGCTCCATCTGCTATGCAGTGATCTCAGCTCGTGGGGGGTGGTGGGGAGAGGCCCTCCAGGCTTCCTGGAGAAAAACTGGCTTATTCCTCAGAAGACGACTGAGTTGAACTCGTTCTATGAGCCTGAAATGTTAACACCACTAGTCCCTGTGTTCATCTGCATGCCAGTGATCCAGGAATCTTAAGAAAAGAGGATCAGTTTGGGTCATTTTAATCTTATTCCTCTCTAAACATTCTTATTATGATGGGACATGAGTAATAAATTATCAGAAAGAAACAGAATCAGATTCTGTAAGTCTCAACTAATGCATTTCTCATTCAGACCTGTCACATGTCCATTCTGGATTTCCACTCCTCCTGGACAATGGCTACAGCTAATAGCTCTGGAAAGTTCAATGGATTTGTGGTTTAGGAAAAATGGGGGGAAGAGGGAGCAAACTTGCTCTAGTGTCAGAAATCTCTAGGGAGAAAATAATAAGGATCCATTTCAAGAGCTAGATTTTTTTCCTACAAATCTCATTACTTTATAGTTATTTTATGGTATACATTTCATGCTATATATTTGTAAAACATACATGCATATAAAATATAGCATGTAATGATAGAAAACCAGAGGCTTGGTTCAATTTGCGTTCAAAGGAATCACTGTCTGAGAGTCTTGGGTGTCTACTGGAAGTCTTCAGAACTGGATTTAGATCCAGGCTGTTTAAAAATTTGGATCTTGGCTATTTAATAATTGTGTGACTAAATAAATTAATTGTATTTTCTGATCCTTGGTTTCTTCATCTGCAAAGTAGGCATAATCCTATTTTGCAGAACTCAACAGAAAAATACAGACAAGATTTAATCAAGAGTTTCTGTAATTCTCAGCTAACTCATTTCTAATTCAGAGTTGACAAGTATTCATTCTGAAACTCCCACAGTGCTCTGAAAGAAGATAAATATTGAACATTTGATGTACGGCAATTACCGATAAATCTGTGTGTGTGTGTGTATATGTGTGTGTGTGTGTTTGTGTGTGTGTTTCATTTATTTTGACTTAAATCTTCAGTTAGAGCTTCTAGCAGGTAATAAAAGAAGTAGATTTGAAAAATAGGATTAAATTGAGAATGTAATAGTAAGTGATCAATAAATATACTCATTTCATAAGTGAACAAATGAACAGAGGACACCCTAATGGTCTTGTTTCTTATACTTCCATAGTGCTGTCCAAGAAACATCTCCTTCGATGATGTCCACTGAACAAATGCAGCCATTGGAACTCCCAGAAGACAGACTGGACAAGCTAGACCCTCGTTGTGACCACTTAGGTAAAAGCTCCAATGTGAATATCAGTAGCGGAAATCAGAAAGGAGGGGTCTCTGCCATTCTCTGCAAGTCAAAGGGAGGCCCCCTGAAACCCGATCGTGTGTACCTTCCGGTGACAGCCAACACCAGATGGACAGGGAAATAGCCATGACTCTGTGGGGTCTGTCGTGTGAATATTAGCGGAAGCACTGGAGAGAGGTTCATTAGAGTTACAAAAAGAGAGAAAGGCATTGTCCTCTTTTTTGGGTCTGACCGAGTCCCAGGCAGAGCATTTTTGAGGCAATAAATGGAACGTGGCAACAGAGCTTGTTTCCAGTATTTGCCGGCACACTTACACCCCATGTGCAGTGCCAATAAAATATTTCAAATATCTCTCTTTGCCTATCAAGACAGAATTTTAAATAGCCTTTTTCTGCTTTATTGTCAATCTGTTTCCTTTCCAGAACTGACTTTTTGCATAACCTTTGTAATGAAAATACCAGAAACATTTCTGCCTCTACCCATTTCTAAAAATGAGACACTCAGACGTTTGATGGATGGGCCTTTTGCATATTCATAGCCTTTGTTTATGTCTCGCCTGGTTATGACTCCCCCCCCCCATTTGCCATCAAGATAGTTTATGTTCAGGATTTCTCCAAAAGTGGGAAAAAGTGCAATTGAAGTAAAAGTCAAAACTGAAGCAAATGCCTTGTTGTACTGTGTACTGAGTCGCATCCTGGGCTGGAATGGTGACCTATGACTGGTCCATATCCAGCCTGTACTTCCAGAGACCCCACAGCTGGGCAACACCCATTCTGAGCAATATTTATTCATTCAACAAATGTCTATGGTATGTATGATATGGGGAGAAATTGTGCTATGTGGCAATAAATTTTTTAAATTGCATTTTCAGCTAGGCATTAAGAAACATTAGGGGAGGGGGGTGGGGGGTTGGGATAATGGGGTGGTGGGCATGAAGGAGGGCCCTTGATGGAATGAGCACTGGGTGTTGTATGCAACTGATGAATCACTAAATTCTCCCCCTGAAACTAATAATACGAAATTGAATTTGTTATAAAGAATTTTTTTAAATAAAAAAAGAAGAAAAAAAAGAAACATGGTCTCAAGAGCCTGAACTTACTCCTGATGCCATAACCTGCCAGGAATGTGACCTTTAGCCTTTCATCTGGCCTTCTAAATCTCAGTTTCCTCATCGGCAAATTGGGGATAATTGTACACCTTCCTTGTGGGCTTAGTGTGAGAACTAAATGAGATTGTGTGTTTAGGATATGCTATGAATATTTAACAACTCGTAAAACACAGGTATTGACGAATCAGAGAAGGTGTTGGTCATTCCCACACACTAGAAGGATGTGAAATCATCTGGTATATAAAAGTACTCAATAAAGTTCCCTCTCACCTGTTTTTTTTGTATATGTAAACTTAAAAGTACATGGTTCAGTGCCTTACATGCAGTATGATCTCAATAAATGTTTATTAAATTGAAATGATTGGATGGAATTATTCAAATCCTTTAAGTAAAAGGAAGTATCTATTACTATTATATATGGCTGAAGGGAATGATGCTATTTGATTTTTGGTTATGCACTGTGATCTTTGGATAATGCAGGCATAATAACGTGTGGTTACTAAGTATTTCTAATGGTAGTTTTCTCACGTATATTGGGTTTTCTAAAATAAAAGACCATCTAGACATAAAGCCCAATAGACCATAGCAACTTGAAAGGAAGGACTATTTCTTATTTGTCTTTTTCGTCCTAGAATCTTCCTCAAGGCCTGGCATAGAGGAGGAGCTTCATCAGTGTTTGTCAAATAAATACATTATGAATGACACAGGTTATGTCTAGACCCACGAAACTGAAGGGAACAGGTTTGACACTTTTAATCCTCCACGTTTTAAAGACACTGACCTGAATATTTACATAAAAAAGAAACAGAGAGAGGGGCACCTGGGGGGCTCAGTCAGTTAAGCGTCTGCCTTCTGGGATCCCAGGGTCCTGGGATGCAGCCTTGAGTCGGGCTCCCTGCTCAGCGGGGAGCCTGCTTCTCCCTCTCCCTCTCCCTCTCCTGCTGTTCCCCCTGCTTGTGCTCTCCCTCTCTGTCAAATAAATAAATAAATAAAATCTTTAAAAATAAATAAAAAAATCTTTAAAAAAAAAAAAGGAACGGAGGAAAAAAGAAAGAAGGGAGGAAGGAAAAGAAGAAGAGGCCGAACATTTCCAATTAATCTCTGAATTTCCCCAAATCCATTCACAGTTGTAGATGCATAAGACTGTAACCAGGCCATAGAGAGTTTCCAGAGAAGACAGATAGCTTCATTGTCTGTGGCTTCTTTGAACCCTAACAGACTCTCTCCTTATACATAACATGCTTGAGTTCATTCATTCAAGCACACATTCAACAAATATTTATTAATTGCTTAAGGGGATAAAAACACAAGATACCTGTCATCAAAGAAGGCAGAGAAGACATATGCAGAAAATGTGTTACATGAGCAAAAATCCTGTGGATATCCAGAAAATGAGAAAGGACACCCAGGACTGGGGAAGACTTAGGCAGACAGGGCAGGAAGGTAGGCTTTCCTTTGGATTTTGTGGAAGGTTAGGGGTTGAGCAATGACCAGAGTGAACATTCTTTTGAAGATCTAAAATATATCAAATGTAACAACTTCTTTACCAACATTAACAAATGTAGTCCTCTCTCTCTGTCTCTGTCATACACACACACACACACGCACACACACACTGATTTAAAATTATCCCTACTTTAAAAGTTGAGAAAATATTAAAGTTCCTAGAAATTAAGGCCCAAGTTCTCAGAACTAACAAGTGACAGAGTCAGCAACTGAACTCGGATCAGTCCACTCCACCTATCCATTCAAAATGCATTTATGGGAGGGAGAGGCAATTAAGAATAAAATTATCAAAAGGATATAATCCTTAATCTCCAAGAAGGCTCTGTCAAGAGCAGGAGATAAACCCTGATAGAATAAGCAAGTGTCATTGTCTAGAACAATGACAGAGACGCTCAAAGAAGCGCACCATCAGCCAAAGCATTGAGGAGTCAGATGGAGCAGAGAACATACTTTCATGGGCAAGGAGTGATCAGATTGGACTCATCACACACACTGACATCTGATGGACATGATGTAGAGTCCAAGCTTCACGAGCTCGGGGGACTAAGGAAGGTAAAGAGCTAAGTAAGAAGACAAGAGGACCTGGAGTGAGGCTGGGCAAATGGGAGAAGTGGATTGCCAGTGGGGACGTGGATGAAGAGGCCAATGCTAAAGGCAAGTGTGAATGGTCAGCGTGACCTGGCTGGCCACAGAAATGAAGGCAGGTGAGGAATTTGTGGAGAACCTTATTACAAGCCTGGAGAGTGTGCACGGCTCCGCACTGGCCCATGCAGTCTTCAAGAGAGCAAGCCTTGAGCAAAGATTAAGAGCATTTAGCAAAGAAAACCTATTCTATCAGAAATTCAACTCAAACCCACTCTGTGGCTTGCCTAACTATATTTTAAAGTTCTTCTTTGCTTTGATTATCTGGCCATTGGAGCTCTCTTCATTTGGAGTTTTATAGACTATCCCAGTTTTCTGTTTTATTCTATGTATTTGTGCAAGGCTACGGAAGTCTTCTGTACGCTAGGCCAAAATATATAAATCCTTTTCTTTTTCAGACCAAATGGCTTCTGCAAGTACTTGGAAACCAACCAGTTTGTGAGTGACCCTTACTCATGTTATATTCTTTTTTTTTTCTTTGCATCATATCAACATCAGATGACCTTTCAGACCAGTTCATTAAAGACTGTGATCTCAAAAAGAAGCCAAGAAAGGGAAAAAATGCACAGGTTGCCTTGAATGTTGAGTCAGACCAAAAAAAGCCAAGGAGAAAAGATACACCAGCACTGCACATCCCACCTTTTATACCAGGTAATGGACAATGAGGTCAGTTTGCACGTCTGTGAAGGGGAGCCACTACCACCAGATCACATTGGTCTTACAACTTTTTCCTTACAAACTTGGGTGTTTTTAAATCACTGGTACTCTCCCTACACCTGTCTTCATTACAGTATGGCCAGCTGCTATATCAAATAAATTCCAAAATGTTAGTGGCACAACACAAGGTTTTTTTCACTCATCAGTAGTGTGAGTTGGGGAGGCAGGTTCTGCTCCAAACGGTAATTCAGGGACTCCGGCTGATGGAGGTTTGGGCATCACCAGCACATGGCTTTCAAAGTCGCCATGAGCGTTAGCATCCAGCAGGTGTGGGGCTGAGGGGGATACAAGGGGTGGTGGGGGTGGGGCAGAATAGACTGAAAGACTGGCAGACCTGGAAGTGGCCCACATCACTTCCTTCAGTCACAAACCTCACCTGACTGCAAGGGAGGCAGAGAGATGCCGCCCAGGTGTGTGTGTGCCCAGGAGAAAAGCAAAATGGTTTGGGGAACAGCTACCGTGTCTCCATAACAACCTCATGTGTGATGTGTGACTCTCTCGCTTCCCCAAAGTTTTGTTTGTTCTTATTTCCTTTTCTCCTTCCCTCCGGGCCATTGATTTAGTGTCTTCACCACTCACAACCCACTTGGAGGGAGACAAAACAAATAGAACACAGAGTTTCCTGAGAAGGAACTGTCAGTTTTATAAGAAATAATGGAAGCGCATACATGGCTGAAATACGCAGTAAGTGGTAAGGCCATAATGAGGTCCTTCTATAAGGACCCCGGGAGCTCAGCCTGGGCAGGGAATTGTGGAAAGTTGTGTAGAGGAGGCTGATGTCAGACAGTTTGTAAATGATGGAGAAGAATGTCACATGTGGGAGAGGTGAGAAGGCACGTAAGTCCCTGAAGAGCGGAGCATGTGGCTTGCAGAGCAGCAAATGATCCACTGCTCTAAGGAGGATGGACCCCGCAGGCGGACAGACCTGGGCTCGCTTCCTGGGTCCGACCCCTACGAGCTGTGTTACTGTGGCCGTGTTTTCCGTGCCTCGCCTTCCTCAGATAGGTGATAGTGACAGTAATATTAAGTTCCTCAGGGTTTTGTGAGGCTAAAATAAAATCAGGCATGCAAAACCCTTTGCATCACCTCAACAGATACTGATTCCTAATATAAAAAAGCTTTTATTAAAATAAGTTTGAAAAGCTATATTGACTACCATCACTAGGGATATGTGCAAATATGCGTGCATTGTCCTATGTATCAGGATATATGTATATGACCCTGTTTCTCCCTCTGTTCCCCTAACCACGCAGGTGTGCTTTCAGAACACTTACTTAAAAGATACGACATTCAAGAGAGACACCCAAAGGGCAAAATGAATCCAGCTCTTCATAACACTGACCTGGAACAGAAAAAACCAAGGAGAAAAGACACACCTGCCCTGCACGTGTCCCCCTTTGCAGCAGGTAAAAGGGCTGGTGCAAGGCATTTGCAGGGGGTGATGGGACCAGGTCAGGAAGCTTACCATCTGGAGGTGCCACGGGCATGGCCTCTGTCCTGGCCCAGCAAGCTGTGTCACACAGAAGCGCTCTGTGGGGGGGAGCAGCATTTACTGCTGCCTTTCAGGCTTACCTTCCCTGGAAGCTCCCCCAGGGCTGACTTGGAGCTGGGGGAGGTTCAGGGCATTCCTCGTGCTTCGGCAGAACTGGTCGGATCCACTGAGCCAATGAAATAGAAATGTCAGTGGGTCCTTGAAAAGAGTTGACATACCCTCCTCCCCAGCCTTCCATGGATCATGCATCCTATGACTGATGGCTGATTCTCCCAAGACATCTGGCTGGCTGTATTGACCAAATCTTCAATGAGAGAGAGAGAGAGAGGGAGGGAGAGAAGAAGAGAAAGAGAGATGCAGAAATAGCGAGAGCTATCTTTAGTAACTATAGAAACAATCCCTGAAAGTATCATCTTTTTTCTTAGATGAAATTGAGTATTTATTGTTAATTTTGTCAGGTATGATAATGGCAGTTTAGTTATGGTTTTAAAAAGCTTTTAGTGCTGGAGATACATACAGAAGCGTTACAGGGAATTTGCTTTACAATACTGAAAAATAAAAACAATTAGATGAAACAAATGACAAAATGTTAGTATTAATTATATAGTTTTATATATATATATGAAAATGTGAAATCTCCCAGAATAAAAATATTAATTTATTTTATTTTTTATTTAAATTCAATTAATTAACATATAATGTATTATTAGTTTCAGAGGTAGTGTTCAGTGATTCATCAGTCTTACATAACACCCAGTGCTCGCTACATCATGTGCCCTCCTTAGTGTCCCTCACCCAGTTACCCTCCCCCTCCAGCAACCCTCAGTCTGCTTCCTATGATTAAGAGTCTCTTATGGTTTAGCTCCCTCTCTGATTTTGTCTTGTTTTATTTTTCCTTCTCTTCCCCTATGATGCTCTGTTTTGTTTCTTAAATTCCGCATATGAGTGTGATCATATGATAATTGTCATTCTCTGATTGACTTATTTCACCTAGCATAATACCTTCTAGTTCCATCCACATCATTGCAAATGGCAAGATTTCTTTTTTTTTAATCCTGAAAGTATCATCTTCATGAGAGCTATCTTAATATGTGTCAAATCAAACTCAAAAATCTTGCTGAACTCTGTGCACAGCCCAGACTATGCAGTAGACAAAATAGTGAAATATAGTCTTGTCCCTGAGAATTTTATGTGGAGGTTAGGGAATAAGACATATATACTCATGATTAGATTATAAGACTGAGTGTGTGTCTGTGTTATAGATATTTGGAGGGCGGTGGCAGAGAAGAAAATGTACTAATGTTTATTGAGACCCTACTAAATATTAGGTATTGAGTTTGGTATGTCTCATGGATTTCTTAAAATCAGTTTAATAACACAAGAAAGGTAGCTGTTAACTCCCTTTATTGGTAAAAAAACTGAAAGAGAATTTAAGTAACTTAAAGTCTTCTGTGGGTGGCATTGATGGATGGATAGCTGCTTGGCTGATTGGTTGGATTGATGATGGGATGATTAGGTGGACAGATAAATGGGCCAAATTATGTTCAGGATCAAACACAATGATGTGGCAAAGCTGGGGCTCTAAGCCAGGTCTGTCTCACCTGTGGGCAGTTTGTCACTGCACTGTGGTATAGTTGGGACTTTTGGCACTATGGCAATCCAGAAGGGACACTTTGGGAGATGGGATTTTGTTGTTATAGAACTATGTTTCCCCATTATTTTATTTACTAAAGAAAAAAATTGAAAGAAGACTCAGAAGAAGACATCATGAATAGGCAGTCAGGGGTACAGACAAGGTTACTGATTTCTGTGGAGCAGAGCCAGGCAAGGAGGCATGGAGCCTGAGGAGGCACTTCTCTGGAGAAATGGACTGAAGACCAGCTGGCAGGATCTGAACTGCCTCAGACATGCTTCTCATACGCTGCACGCATTCCTACCTGCACTGACCCTCCAACCCATCACACATTTCCTGCACTTCTGCCTCTGTCCTGGTTCCAGTCATCTTTGAAGGCTCAGCTAACTCAGAGTCTCGCTAACAGACTCCTCCAAGTCCAAAATGAATCTTTTCTATTCTGAACTAACTCTGTAGTAGACACGGGCATGCAAATACCAAGACTTTGTCATCTCTTTCAGTATGGTCTTTATGGCTCTTGCTGCCATTATTGTAGCTGTTCTTAACATTGACTTACAGTTGATGAATTCATGAGAACTGTGCTGGTATTGACCTTGATATCTAGTCCAGTCCCTTCTATATAGCAATACTCAGTAAGTATCTGTTGATTTGATATTCTATTTGGAAATCACAATTCTGCAATTCCAAGTTCTCCATTAGGAGACTTTATCTTTACCCATTCTTATATTTGTTTTTATTGAAGTCCTCCTAGGGAAAGACTTGGTAGAGAAAAAAAATATTTATGGGCAGAGAGTCACCTTAGCACACAGCATTGAACATGGGCTTTGCAGTCAGAAAGGTCTAAGTTTGATATCTGGTTCTGATCATTCTAGCTTTGTGACCCCGGGCAACTAGCACAAACAAAAGAGCCTCCTTCATTCCATCCATCTCTGAAAGCAGGACCATAAAATCTGTCTCCCAGGATTGTTAACATAATTAAATAAAGCACATAAAGCACTTAGCACAGATCCTGGTTTTTGGAAAGTCCTCAATAAATGTCAGTTCCTCTCCATTCCCTTCAACCTGATATTCCTTTAGATTACTCAAACCGTTTCTAAGGGTGAAAATTTTCCTAGCCACAGTGTTTTACCTTTTCCATATAAACCTACTGATTCAAGGGACTTCCTAAAATGTTGAGCCCTGTTTCTCTGGCAGTGGATGCTGCTGGCATCCCAATATCCACATCTCAGGAGAGCAGCTTCCTAGTTGAATAAAAAAAATGTTTCTCAAACAGGGCAAAGTACACAGAGCTGGAGAGGGAGGCTGTATACCCATGGACTCTATACACATTATGGAATTCCTTGAATCAGCAAATCTCTGTGTTGCATTTGCAATTAGAGATGGTGTTCTATGATTCTAGCTTTTATTAGCATATTAGCTGAAGCACTTTATTTTTGAAGAGCCTTTTAGTATCTAAAGATTTGGCAGTAATCGGAATGCTAGTTAAGCTGATAAGGATAGAGCCTTTGGCAGATGTTCAGAGAGACTCATAGTGGTTCTAATAAGGGTGTTGAGAGGAACTCACAGACAAATGCACTCTGGAGACATCTCCTCTCATTAGCCCTTGGCAAGTGAAGACTGGACAAGGATTATCTCTCTCTTCTAAATCTCTTGCTAACTACCTTCATTCCCCTAGGTTAATGAGCTTATCTGACAGGTTCCAACTGCCAGTTTGGAAGTGAGGAATCATCTCCGGTTTCCTTGCCAACCCAAGGTTTGCTCCCAACTTGGCCCACATTTGCCAGGGCCCCCCATCTTGGTGACTACATGGCAGGGTGCACTGGGTTGTGATTAATAAGATCTGAGTAGCCAAGACCTGCTTAAAAGAAAAAGAAGTCTTTAGTGAAGGTCTGTGGCAATGGGAACCAGAGAAAGTAAAAATCCTGAGGCCGGAAACATTGAAGAGAAGCCTCTTGGAAAACTGGCCCGTGAGCTATGAATATTTGGAGATCAAAGGTCAATAATGGACTTGGAGAAATGGGACTGTTGCGTCCTTTTGAAAGTGACACCTCTTCTGTCCTACTGGGAATAGAGTGTTCTCTTTGGTGTGGCTTGCCAGGACAGGAGGTATCTTAGCCCTGGCTCCCATACATTTGTCATGCAGGTAACCAGCTCTGAATGGGATCATGGCCTAAAATAGCTTGTTACAAGGCTAATTGGTTGACCCTCAGAGACCTGGGACTGACAGCTTTGGCCTTAAAAAAACATACCAGGTTCTAACAAACAGCCAAGTTCTGTAAACTCTCCTCCACAGAGAGTAGAAGGGTAGGAACTGACATTTTCTAAATCCCTACTGTACCCCAAGCCCTGTCCTAGATGCTAGAATATCCTTTAAGACCCTCAAGTTTTGGTGGGGCAGGGGGGGATAGATGTATTTTCCGATGATTCTTACAACGTGAAATGTGCTTCAATGGAGGTTCACATAAAAGTGTGCCAGAAGCATCAAAGAATGTTGGTCTACATTTACCTGGCAGCGTCACCCCTTGAAGGAGATAGGCTTTAGTTTTTCTCCAGTTTCTCAGATGAATACACTAAGGCTCAGACAGATTAAGTGACTTGCTCAAAGTTAAATGACCACCAAAGAAAGCAAAGTTTCCTGGCTCTGGAGTACATTCCTTCAATGACACACCTCTGCTTCCCACAGGAGAACAGAGGATCGGGACTAGGTTAAACCACAGACCCGTGTTTATCAAACCTCATTCATCTTCAAAGGAACAAAGTCGAAGATCTGAAGCATCAAGAATAAAAATATATTGATGACACAGAAGCGACTGATATCAGCCTCACCCTAAGCGGTGACAGCCATGAAATCAAGATTTTCATGAGCTACCATATGTATTTTTCATTATAAGGCACTAAAAATAATGCTTAACTATACTAATACAAATGCTAGTTCACTTTCCACTTGAAATTACCTCCCATATCCCTGTGGAAAGCCTAGCCTACTTTGGAAAGGGCTGACCTTGATGGCTAAACAGGCTCCTCCCTTCCCTGAAATCCCAGGACTTTTTTTTTTGGCCCAGATGCTCATCCGACTAGGTTTCAAGGATACCCCAAGTAATCAGAAATTTGACTTGATCTGGGAATTTAAACACTTTTGCCCACTTTGAATCAACTCAAATTTGGCTTAATGTGAAAAGATATCAAGGAAATCAGGACAGAAAGTTTGGGGGCTTAGCATTGTTAACTCTCTGTTCTCCTACCATGGTAGCCTTAATTCCAAATAAAAATCTAAACCTCCTTGCAGCTGGTAGAAGAGAAAACATCTCCCACTGTGCTTCATAAGTGATTTATGCAAAATCCTCAGTTTCAACCAGACTCTTGAAATTGTTTTTCTCCTCCAATAAATATCAGCTAATTGGTAAAGAACCCATATGAACAAACTAGGAACTGAATCAAATGAATAGTCATTAGGATCAACACATAGTTTTCATTAATTTGCCGCTGTTGAATGGAGTCCAGTGTTGTAGAAAGGCCTCTTGTGGTGCACAGCTTTCTACCCTCATGTTTAGATCTTTATGAAATGCTTAATGAACTGAAAGGTCTCTAATTATGAGAAGGTGGGGGAGATGCAAGGCAGTGGTGGTTGGCTGGAGTGGATGACAGAAATCATGGAGGACTAGCCTTGAATCACAACTTCCTTTGTCTTTTTATTAAAATGACCTTACTTCACAATTTACAGGATGAGCAGAACCACCCAGCCCTCCTTGGATGGTCTTAACGAGGCTGATCAGTCCAGAAAATTGTGCTGAGGCTTCTGAATTTCAACGGCCAGTAAACTTCTAAAATACAAAATATATTGGAACCCAACATAGGGATAGTTTTGAATTTTGCCTAGTAAGGCTGCTAAAAAACCAACTATCTGATGCTCCTAAAATTCCCAAAAAGAAAGGATATTTTCATCCCCCCAAAGAAGAAAATCGAAAAAAAAATAAAGAACAACTTTTTAAAATTGTAGCCACAGAACTTAAGGAACACTCTCTGCACTTTCTTGAATCTCTCCTTTTGCTCTGAACCATGTAAACTTTATCATCCACCAGTCCTAACATTTAGAAATGGCATGTTCAGAGCCTCAGCTCAATCTTTTCCCCAGATGTTAGAAAAATGTATTTATCTTCGACTTCATGCTGCGGACCCATTCTTTTCAAAGGGGAACCGAATTAGCACGTGTGAAAGGAGAAGCGGACATGGGGTTCACAGGTGTGAGCCTGTGTTTCTTGTTCAACTGGCACAATAACCCTTTACATAAGTATCAATGCGCTCCTTTTATATCCAAGCAAATTCAGGTGTGAAAGTGTTAACTGGCCCCACACAGACTGAGCGAGTGGCGGAATGAGAGGTCCAAAGCAAGTGGATCCAAAACCTGTTTGCTTTTCATCTTCCTGTGCTGCTAACTTAAATGCAGACCATAGACCAGGGGGTCCACATTGCCTCTGACTCCCAGGTCGAGCGTCTCCTGGTCACCAGCGTTGTGCTTCGTTGAGTCACAGCTCCTCTGGGCAGGCCAAATAAGGCACCCAGCGCCCTGACTCTGGCGGCACCTTTAACACTGAGCTCTGCAGATGCTAAGAGGTTTCTGGGTTGCCATGTCTACGCTGTAAGGTTATCTAATATTTTCATTAGAGGCACTTAATTGCAGATCGTTGCTTTGTTTTGCAGGTGTGACACTGCTCAGGGACGAGAGACCCAAAGTGATCGTGGAAGATGACGAAAAGGATGGTGACAAGATAGCTATTTAAAGAGAGTTCTCCTGAGATCACTTGTAAATAGGTTAGATTGGTTCCCTGTGGCGACCTAGGAAAAAAATAGACTTGCTTCTGCTCTCATTTTGTGATAGTCCGCCTTTGAGATCCAGACACCTTTCCCCAAGAGGCATACTGTATCAGATTGCCAGGCACCTCTTTGTCTCGCTCCTCTTTCTTGCATCTGATTTCTGTTCCCACCTCTTGAATTTTCATTTTCTAATGCAGTGGAAAGGAAACAGATCATTCTAAATTAGGAGGTAACAGGGAAAGCTCTAGTGTTCAGCTTCTCCATCTTCTGGATCAATTCATGGAGCAAAGAACACGAACGAACAGCATGGAAGTGCTTTATTTCTTGGTTTATGCTGGTGGGCAAGACTTGACCTCACATTATCCAAATAGTAGTTCAAGTGCGGACTCCCTGTTGCCAGTTAGGGAGGTGAGGATGTTTGGGTGCAGACTCACCGATTGCTTTGGAGAACATGGCCTTTTATCTCTTTTATCTTTCCTCAAGAGTCCAAGTGTCTCTGGTGCCATTTCCAAGGTCCTTGTAACTGATACCGTAACGGTGAATGTACTGGGGGCATCAACCCAATCAACCATGCCTTGGCTGAGAATACCAGTGATAGGGAGTGTTGGTCTACTGAGAAGCTTAGCGATATATCCTACTTATTTTTGTTTTTTGAAACATCTCTTAACCATGTTGTCCTGAAATTTGTGAGCTGTGTCACATGTGAACCATTACCAATGATAGGTAGAATACCGTCTGGGATGAATTTACTTTTTAAAAAATTAATTAAGGCCAGTGGAAGGCCCCTCCCAGCATTCTCACTTATTTAGAACCCCTTATGTTTTCTTGGATGGGAAGGAAAGATGTGGTGTTCGCTACTGAGCAGGGGTCTATACATAACCCCTGCCCCAGCCTGCTGCCTGTGGGTGCCATGGGGAACCTTTGCATGAGGGCCTCATCCAACAGAGGATAGACATGGGGAAAGGCAAAAATTGTTGTTCAAAAGTAGAAAGGTGGGTATTCAAACAGATCTTGCCTAAAAGTGGTAATTTCCAAGCTCTGTATACACCCTGGCTCCAAGAAGCTGTCTTTCTCACAAGTGTGGAAAAGATACAGGACACCGCTGGTAATAAAAACGCTTCTAACCACATCTTTACGTCCTGGTGCATTTCTTCTAAAAATTATTTACTTGCAAATATAAAGAGAAGAGGTTGCAAAAGAGAATCACAGAATTGATTTGTTTGTTTTTGACCCTACCTAGGCTTAACAATGTTTGAATCGGCCATTAATATTTAACAATCCAATCAGAAGAATTTGCATGAGAGTCTAGATTTCCAGATTCTCTTGGATAAACACCTCAAGATCCAACAACCTTGGGCTTGATTTGAGGCATGACAGCCGTCAGCCGATGCGGGGCACCAGATGCCCTTTGAGAAGGAGCACACATTCTCCAGCGCCCTCCACCCCCGCGCGAGTGTCACCTGCTGGCTTCACCGGCCAGCCTTCACATTTGGGTTTGGAGTCTCTGGTGAAGGCTTTATGTTCCTCATGATCTCTCGCCTCTTTGATCCCAGGGCTCCCCTTTCACTTCCGATGGCCTCAGTCACCGTGTCAGGGGGGAGGGGAATAAGATGTGTCTGGCTGCTGGTTTAGGTATAAGTGGTGCAACAGGCCACCATAAATTTTTTTAAAGAGCCAAAGGCAATTAATGTACAGAATAGGATTATATCACCACCGGCAGCAATTTTTACCAAGGGTCTCTCACCAGAAAAAGGCAGATGCAGTCTTGTGCTGTCAGCTTTGCTGATAAGCGTGGTGCATTCCTGCGGCCCTGACTGCAGGGTATATGTGATAAACTCACGGCCAGTTTGGGAAAGCCCAACCCGTTTATGACATCTGGGTGGTGTGGAGAGCACACTGGCCATTGTAGAGACAAAGGCCTTGCGTTCCAATCCCAACTGTGCAACACTGAGCAAGTCCCGAAAGTTCTCTGTTTCTTTATCTTGAAAATGAAAATAATAACCCCTATTTGGCTTTCTTAATGGTTTGAGAATTAAATGAGAGAATGTATGGCAAAGGGCTTTGAAGTGAAAAAAAAGTATCGATCTGTATGTAGCACAGGATAATTTTAAGAGATTTTCAGAGCATGGACCGTGTGTTTCCTATTGCCAAATCCCCACTGCCTGGGTATTAAATGGGTAGCTATTATATAGAATTTGATCTCAGCACATGAAGAAGGACTTCTAAGAAGGAGATTCCATGGCTCGAGGCACAGCCGTAACTGAAAGACCAGCCCTCCTCTTTCTGGGAATGGCCTTCGTATAACAGTCCCAGCTGCAAAGGAGCATTTACCGAGCAATGAAGGCAAAGCCAATCAAACTTCCAACCAACACTGGACATCACTGGGGTGACTTGGATTGAAGTCTAATCTCCCTTACTCCCCCTGACCCATGTGGCCCTTTTCTGGGCAGGTAAAGTAGAGGCTTAATAATGAGGATACATTCTGATTAAAATAATTCTTGGTACATCGTGAATAACTTCCCTCCAGCAACATAAAAGAACTAAGAAGATAAAAGCATTACATGGTAGCCCATTCAGAAAGAAGGCCCAAATTAAAGGCATCCCAACAGAACTGGCCAACCAGTTGGTTATTTTTTCCTTCCCAATGCATCTACCGACCCCAGGTGACATGGGGAGGCACCAGACGTGAGACAGTTAGCTCTCTTTCAAAAGCCCCAACAGGACTGGTGCCTTTCTTTAAATCCAGGCCCTCTTTAAAAGCTCTTGCCTGAGATCACACAGCCAACTTCTCATGTTTAATTATCACTAGGAGAGGCAGAAAGAAGCTGGTGCTGAAGGATGGGGATAGAACTGTAAAGGACTCAAGCAGTATTTCTTTTTAAATCCAATTAAGTGAGGCACCTGGGTGGCGCAGTCGTTAAGTGTCTGCCTTCAGCTCAGGTCATGATCCCGGGGTCCTGGGATCGAGCCCCGAGTCGGGCTCCCTGCTCCGCGGGAAGCCTGCTTCTCCCTCTCCCACTCCCCCTGCTTGTGTTCCCTCTCTCGCTGTGTCTCTCTCTGCCAAATAAATAAATAAAATCTTAAAGATAAATAAATAAATCCAATTAAGTGAATTCTCCCTCTCAAGCCTGTGTTGTCCGGGCTGATTCTTAAAACAAAGATAGATTGAGATAGCATGTTCGTCAGGCACTTATTTTTCCTAGCTGACAGTAAGAGGCTAGTTCCATGATGGCCTTTGTATACTCTCTGTCATCTTGTGGGAACGAAGCTCCCTTGCACTTGTGTAAGTGTGAAAATGTTACTCAAAACTCCCTCAGGCAGAGAATGAAATCATAGGAAACCGATGAGGAAGAATATCCTCCTCTCGCTCTCCTGGACACAGGACTGCTTTGAACCGGCTTTAAGGTGTCATCTGTATGGAGGTTTCAAAGCCCTAGGATGACCATACTCCCTAACCCACAAAATCAAGGCAGAAGACTCTTCAGACATAAATGTGTTCACACTTGAAAGGAGCTCTGACCTCGAAGATCCCAGGTATCAGCTTCCTTTCACAAGAAGAAAAGGGTAGGTAACTTAACAGTAGCAGATCCTGCTAATAAGATGAGAGTACTCATCTTTCAGGGGGCTCACCGAGAAGAAGAAACAGAAGAGAGAACTCCATCATGCCCATCCTCACCAGTGTCATTCTTCCTTCTGATGCTAAATGTGAACTTTCAAGGTTGAATAAAACAGCAAACTCCAGACCCTCTTGTCCTTATGTGAGAGCTTCAGAAGAACTTTAATACTTCTGTTTTAAATATACTTTAATATTTATTGACCAAATCATATATAAACTGTATTTAAAATGTATTAAATGCTACTTAAACAATGTCCTTCATGAAAGGAACAGCGTGCTCTGAACCCTTGTGTTTGTTTGCTCTTTTTCCTTTATCATCTTATTTCATCCTCAAAAGCCATTGTAGGAAGCTAACTAGCCAGGGAAATTGACTTGGAGGAGAGGCCAAGATGGGAATTCAGGTCTCTGAACTCCTAGCCCAGCGCTCTTTTTATACTATGGAATTGTTCTGAAAATCCCCTAAAAGCAGGGTCTGGTGGACAGAGAAGGTTAAAGAAGGAGATTTTTCAGTGATCCAGACAGAAGTGCAATATGTAAGTGGTCCCTTTAAGTGACTTTTCCCTGCCCTCTCTGTGGAGCGTAATTTTTGAATAAGTACAAAAATCAATATGTTCAACCTCCCGACACCCAAAATTTGATGATGGGCAGCAGACCCTGTGCTTTAGGGAGGTGAGCAGATAATTTTTGCCTTCTGATTCCACTCCGGCTCCCATATTATCCATTCTCTACTTTGCAGCCAGAGTGACCTTTTTCAAAACATAAATCTGACCACGTCAGACCACTCCTTAGCATCTTCTCCTGGCTTAGAATGAAGGCAAAGATCTAGAGCCTGGGACTGCTCCCTCCGCCCTCTGTGCTCAGGGGGCATTGGTCTCCTGACAGTTCCTGACACTGACATTGGCAGTGTCCCCTGTACCACAGTGTCCTGCCACTGCCAGGGATGCTCCTCACCCTTCCCTCCCCACCTTGTGGGGCCACATGACACACTGTAAAGTCCTGCTCGGCCTTCAGAGCTCAGCAAAATGACACTTCCCCAGGGAAACTCTTCCTCACCTCTTTGACCAGGTCGGGCTTCTCCGTTACTCACAATGTTCTTGAAGCCCCACGTTCTTCTCCTTCATGGTCCTTATTTTCATGATCGTCCATTTGTGACATTGGCTAACCTCTGTATCCTCACTCTTGAGTAAGGCCCATGAACACAGAGGTTGAATCTGATTTTGCACCCCTTCCACTCATACCAGTGAGTAAGTGGGCGAATGAATGAACTTTGTGAGACGCCAAGCCCCATAGTGCAAGGCTGCCGTGCCATCTGCCCACCTGGAGGCACACAAGGTCACTGACTCTTGTAAAGGGCCAGGTAGTCACTACAGCTGAATGCAAACATGAGCCACAGTAAGCTGGGCTGGGTTCGGGGCCCCAACTCTTCCAGTTGGCACCAGAGA